AACTTGACTCACCCCTTTACCCAGGGTAGAGTTTAAAGAAGATCTTGTCATTCCAATTTGACTCACCCCTTTATGTGGGCAATGCAGGGGTAAATTTTAGAGAAGGAATTCGCCCTTCCAAGTTGGCTCACCCTTTGGTGAGCCACCCGCGGGTAAAGTTTCAGAAAACGAACAGAAGGATGTTGCCATTCCAAGCTGCCTCACCCTTTTGTGGGCGATGCAGGGGTGCAATTTAGAGGGTAAAATTAGAGAAAGAAGTGGACATTCCAACTTGACTCACCCTTTTGTGGCTAATGCAGGGGTAAAAATTTGAAAAGGAAGTGGTCATTCCAACTTGACCCACCCTTTTGTGGGCAATGCAGGGGTAAAATTTAGAAGGAAGTGGCCATGCCAAGTTGACTCACCCTTTTGTGGGCCATGCAGGGGTTCAAGTTAGACAAGGATGTTGCCCTTCCAAGCTGCCTCACCCTTTTGTGGGCAATGCCGGGGTAAAATTTAGAGAAGGAAGTGGCCATTCCAACTTGGCTCGCCCTTTTGTGGCCATGCAGGGGTAAAACTTAGAGAAGGATGTTGCCCTTCCAAGTTGACCCACCCTTTGGTGAGCAACCCGAGGATAAAATTTAGAGAGGGAAGTGGCCGTTCCAAGTTGACCCACCCCTTTATGTGGGCAATGCAGGGGTAAAATTTAGAGAAGGAATTGACCGTTCCAAGTTGGCTCACCCTTTGGTGAGCCACCCGCGGGTAAAGTTTACAGAAGGATGTTGCCATTCCAAGCTGCCTCACCCTTTTGTGGGCAATGCAGGGGTAAATTTTAGAGAAGGATGTTGCCCCAAGTTGACTCATCCTTTTGTGGGCAATGCAAGGGCAAAATTTAGAGAAGGAGGTTGCCCTTCTAAATTGATTCCCCCTTTGGTCAGCCACTTGAGGGTAAAATTTAGAGAAGGAAGTGGTCATTCCAACTTGACCCACCCTTTTGTGGGCAATGGAGGGGTAAAATTTAGCAGGAAGTGGCCATGCCAAGTTGACTCACCCTTTTGTGGGCCATGCAGGGATACAAATTAGACAAGGATGTTGCCCTTCCAAGCTGCCTCACCCTTTTGTGGGCAATGCAGGGGTAAATTTTAGAGAAGGATGTTGCCCCAAGTTGACTCATCCTTTTGTGGGCAATGCAAGGGTAAGAACTGGCCATTCCAACTTGGCTCGACCTTTTGTGGCCCTGCAGGGGTAAAATTTAGAGAAGGATGTTGCCCTTCCAAGTTGACCCACCCTTTGGTGAGCAACCCGAGGGTAAAATTTAGAGAGGGAAGTGGCCATTCCAATTTGACTCACCCTTTTATGTGGGCAACGCAGGGGTAAAATTTAGAGAAGGAATTGGCCCTTCCAAGTTGGCTCCCCCTACAGAAGGATGTTGCCATTCCAAGCTGCCTCACCCTTTTGTGGGCAATGCAGGGGTAAATTTTAGAGAAGGATGTTGCCCCAAGTTGACTTGGCTCACCCTTTGGTGAGCCACGCGCGGGTAAAGTTTACAGAAGGATGTTGCCATTCCAAGCTGCTTCACCCTTTTGTGGGCAACGCAGTGTAAATTTTAGAGAAGGATGTTGCCCCAAGTTGACTCACTCTTTCGTATCAAAATTCAATAAACTCCAGATGCAAGGGTGTTCCTTGTCCCCTACAAAAGCTTTCATTAGAATAGTGATGCTTCATTAGACTAGCAACTATATAAAGCTTTGGAAAGGTGATGTCGTTGCGCCATGCCGTTTTTGTGTGACCTTGGTGGAAAGTGCGTTTGCGTAGATATCCGTGCCATTGGGGGAAGGAAAGCCTGCTGGTGTAAACACGCCGTGTCATGGTGGATAGACAGGGTGGACAGAGGTGAGCAGTTGCGGTTGTTTTTGGAACTCAATTTAAAAAACTCCTCCAAAATCGGCCGTGTTGGTCGTTCAGTAGCGATTTGCAAGGGCGGCCATTTAAACACCAAGCGAGGTAACTTTTGCACGCCCCGGGGAGGACCTTTTCCGTGTAGGGGTACGATCTGCAAATAGGCGCGTTCCAGCGTAGCGCATTTGTCATGGGCTTCCCAACATTAAAGCTTAGAGGAAGAAGGATATGCCAAGATATTCCACCATAAAGTGCAGACGACAAGGAATACCTTTTGTGTGTTAGCCGAGGATAAACTGTATGTGGAAAGGCGAAGAACTCTTAAGAGATTATACTTTTTCTTTCCACTTTTTGCACTGCTCCTTCTCCTTCGTTTCGTTTTTCTTCTCTCTCTCTCTCTCTCCCTTTCTCTTCGTGCTACATGAAATAGTTGAAGGTAGCGTACGTATATATTTGTTCAAAGCCCAGGAACCGGAAGAACACCTAAAGCACGCCTAAGGACAAGAAACCGAGCCTAAAGAAACCCGAAACCAGTGAAACCCACTGTTCCCTCCCTTTCTCTCCATCACGCTGGCTTTGGCGCTTCGTCCCCTACCCTTTCTGCTGGTCCTAGTGCTTGGAAAGCACTCCCAGCAGAAGCCAAAGCAAAAAAAAAACAAAACAAAAGCAGTAGGGGAAAAAAATGGAAAAAAATTCCCGGAAAAAATTTGAAAAAAATTCCCGGGAAAAATATCCACCCTCTCGACGTTGACGACACATGACACAATGACGTGGATGGCCCTGCTGACCGTCAATAACCTCTGCGAAAAACATGTTTCCAAAAATCGTTTGTTAAGGACATGGGGTAAAGTTGGAAATCCAGCTGTTGAGTCTGAGTATTTCTATCCTTTGGGTTCGGAGTCCAAAAAGACTTGGACATGTTTGGAATTTTGTGTTACATGCAAGTTGACCCAACAATGAATGATGCTGACAGCAATCAAACTGGACAATCGAATCACTCGATGCCTACAAAACTACTTTGTCCTCTTTTCACAACTTCATAGAAGCGCGCGCTGACGTGTGAACAAGCAACAGGTGTTAGAACAATGTCAACGGAAACGGAACAACATGTGATTTTGTGCTATACTTTTCCCGGTTCAACCACCATTGGTGCGTTGCTGCCATTTGAAGGACAAATGCCCGTCCCAAGGATTGAGTTGCTTTGCTGCCATGTCGAAACCCATCGAAGAACCCAATGTGTCCGCAGAAATCTCCTTGTTGGCGGGGCAGCTGGAGGCTCGCTTTGATCGTCTTTCCGAGAAGATGGATGCCTGTTTGAATGAGGTGATGAGCTTGAAGGGCCGCCCCCTGACCTCCATCCCGCCGGGACCGGGTGCCTCCCGGGCTTCGCGCTTCTCCATTCAAGGGCCTGGCACGCCCCGACGGGCTGGTGCAGCGCGTTCACCTATGCGGTCCACGATGCGCTCCAACTCCGCAGTCAGTTTATCGGCCAATCCCTTTCAACTCCACTTGGATGCGATGCCTTCTTCACCGGGAATGGCTCCATCGCAAGTGGGTCCTTCTCCGCCTACGGGGCCCCCTTCTCCAAGTGGTGCACCGCTGGGGGTGTCAAATCACAAGAAAGAGGAGAGTAAAGAGACTTCAAGAGTTTTCGTTATATGGTTATATGTGTCTTTACCATTTTTACCGCTGACTTCACTGACTTCACTGACTTAAGCACGCAAACTAGCGATATTTTTCAAGCAGGATTCGGTGGTCCATTGCACTACGTAGTCTACGTAGTGACCCTATTTCCATGTTGCAGTGGGCGTCACATCCATTGCCTGTTCCATCTCCACCTTCGTGGTCAGGAGAAAAAAGAGGAGAGGCGAGCGCGATCCCACTCGCGCAGACCACTCCGAGCGATGGACCTGGATTTCGCACGGAGGCTCCACGCAAAGGAAGTGTGCCAGGAGCCACGGCATGTGCCGCCATGGGTGCCACGGCACTTGGACACCCAACGGTTGGGTTTTCTTTTCGTTCCTAAGAGGTTCCAAGTGACTTTCCAGCCACCCGCATCCACCCCCGGCTCACTTAACACGGCCTGTCAGTCGTGCCAAACGCCAGGAGGTGGAGGCGATGGACCAAGTGGTAGACATGAAGCCCTTCATTCGCTTGGTGCATCGGTCATGGGCGGACACGATTTGGGAGATCTTTGATGATCCCAGGCTAGCCTTCCCGGTGGGCTGTGGGGGCTGGTGGGCCGCGCGGGCTGGGCTGGGCTGGCTAGTCGGTGCTTGCCTCAGATTGTTGGATCGACTTGCAGGGAGTAAAGGAGATTTAGATTTAAGAACTGATCTTCAGCACCATCTGAAAAGGGATGTACTTTCTAGTTGTTGGCCACAATACATGAAAGCAAGGGACTTTGGAGTAAGCTTGGAGTGGCTTAGCAATTCATGCTGGAAGATTGACGTGTTTTGCAAGCAGGGTCGCGTGGCAAGTATGCCTGTAGGTTTTTGGTTGGGAGAATCCCAAAGACTGCAGCGGAAAGTGCAGCTCAAATCCAAAGCTGGGCATAGAAGTCGAGGATAGATTTTTTGACCAGGATTGCAGGCTGGCACACTTTTGCTGTAGCTTTCACTTCCCCCGCTGGCCTCACGTTCGTCCAGTAACCACCAGGATCCATTTGGGCAGCTGATTTGCCTACACATGTGCAAGGGCTGCGGGAAAGATGTGTGTCAAGGGGATGCTCAACTTCCCCTTTTCAGTGGCGCATCAGCTTTGACACACTCCCAATGGTTTTTACCTTCGCGATCCCTTTGAGCCGAGTTTAGCAAGACGCAGCCTCTCCTCTATCTAGTGTTCTAATGGGTTGCGCAGCTCGCAAGATGCACTGTATTTGCCTAAACAAACATGAGTGTGTCTCCACGTTCCGGGGTCCCATGTAGATGAACACTTCACCTAACACTTGGGTGACTTGGGTGCTTTAAACTCTCGACAGGTGTCAGACCCGACGGTTTTTGCCGAGGTCCAGCTGGACTGCGTGGTGCGTCTCAAACCTGTTGAAGTGCCTGGCACGGGACCCAGCGGCGCACGGCGCACGTGAGCGGCGCACGGCGCACGTCTCAACGTCGTTTGGAAGCCACTAAGGTGGTCGTCTCGTTGGTGGTCACTACCCTGCAGATCAGTGAGCTCCCTGTGTTGGACAGCGTTTACAATCAAATCGCTGAAATTTTCTTTGACACTCTCTTCTTCCTGGAGTTCCTATGTCGCTTTTTCAGTGCCCCTTCGAAGATGCTTGGACGGATCGGTTGCTTCACCTGGCGACGGGTCCTGTTGTAAGGTTATGCTTGTTTATTTTTGTGAAGATGACCAGGATGAGCTGATAGTTGTATAGTGAACATGACATGTTCGTCAGTCGCCTGTCTTGCTAGTCTCATTCTTGGCCCATTTGCTGTTGCTTCACCTTTTCGCATCGTCGCAGCCTTTGAAATTCGCAGATTTGAACGCTTTTGGACGGAGACGTTGCTGCCAAGTAGCAGTCAGTGACGTGGCAGCTTCGATCCATAACTGGGGCCTCAAAGAAGCAACACTATGCTAAGCTATTCTAGCCGATTCTAGGTTGTTGAGGAATATCAACCTCTGACATGTCCTTGGGGGTTCATTTTTTACACAGTCTGACATGGCGCCCTTCCCCCAAGCCCCGCCCGGAAAAATAACCCTGTCGCGGGCTCGAAGGCTGTCCCGTCGAAGATCGACCGACCTAAGGAAAGCCTATGTGTGTGATCCATTGCATCTCAGCGGCGGATTAGACGTCGGTCTGTCCTTTTTCCAGAAAAATAGACATCTTTGCTTGGACTATATATATATATAATATGGAACGTGACGGTCTGTCTCCCAAAAAAGCGCCTCTCCTAAGACTGCTGAAATAAAGACATACCAAGAAGACTCTTGCAGAAATCCTTCCTTTCGGTGTGCCACCTGCATCCGACTCTTCATTGAGAATCGCGACTGATCAAATTCTTGGAAATCAAGCCCTCACGTCTTCCAACACTTCCATCCGCAAGCCCATCCCTACTTGGATGAAGCACCTCCGTATACTCCTTAATATTTTGTGCTTCGCAATCCAGGAACTGGGGCGACATGCTTTCGGCCCTTGGCCTGCCAGTCTTGGCCTCCATCGGATTTGCGCAGCATCTGCCAGACTCGTATGTCGAGAGGAGCATCCACAAGTTCTTGCCACTTGTTGGATCCTGTTTTTTTTTGTGTCAACGAGTGGCAATATAGACAAGACCGGATTTTTCATTGTTTTTTTTGTTTTTTCACGTGATTTTTATTGTTATTTTGGTCAGAAGCCAGGCCAGATAGTCAGATAGTCCAGTAGAAAGGGTAGGAATGCCGACGGTTGAATGAATAACCCCCTACCAGAATGGTTTTACATCTCCAGTCCTTGGGGGTTCATTAGGGGTGGGTGCTGTGGATGCGGGGCTTCGACCTGGTGCAAGTTGTCTCACTGAAGAAGGAGGGGTCGGCACGTTTGCTCAACAAGGTTTCCAACAAAATCAACAGACTTTGAAAGGTTTCAATGGTCAATGTTTTTATTTTTTTCAAGAACACATATCCAAGTCGATCAGGGCCTGGCACACGAGGTTCCTGGGTGGTGTGAAGGGCGCACAAGATGTCGCATGAGGGGTTGCGCAGGGGTGGCACATAGACCCCAAGTCAGAGGAAAGTGGCAGCCCATGTCTCTGTGAGCCCTACCACTTTGATCCCGTCTAGTTCAGTGTCAGAAGCAGTCATGATGGGTCAAAACTTTGACAGGCTATGACAGGATCGGGACTCTTTAGGGCGTTTGCAAGCCACAGAGGGGTGATTCTCTACATTGGGATAGAGGGCGTCAGCTTGAATGAACCGAAGGTTCCAGAGGCATAGGAACATCTGTCTGTTCGTCCAGAGAGTTCGTTGGACTCTTTGGGTCCTTTTGGACGCAGAAACAAGACTGAAGATGACACATTCTTGCGGGCAGAGAATACGAACGAAGCCCACATATGACCACCTCAAAACACCTAGTAAAATCTCCACACCCTGCAAGCTCCTGAAAGACCCACACCATCTCCTACCTCACCACTTATCTCAAGACTTTGCTGGCTAGTCCTGATTGGCTCTTGCTCTACCGGGCGGACCCGAGCAATGGCCTCCAACCTAATAGCAATGGCCTCCAACCTAACAATGATGGCCTCCAACCTAATAATTGACCTAATAGTGATGGCCTCCAAAAAAAGAACATGGGCTCCAACCCTTGAACAAAAACATCGCTGGCGAGGTTGCTGTTCCTCCCTTTGTGTCGCTTTCTGAAGCTGCTGCGATACTTCGAGTCTTTCAGGCGAACGACGGCAGACGGAACGGACGGACGGACCGAAGAAGCGACGAGAGAAACGGCGCGACGACGGGGCACGGATGGTTAGACACCGGATCGTGACGGTTTGTGCAATCCGGTGAAATCAATGTTCGACAGAAACCAGCTTTCATCAGGCCGTGAATAGGTTGCACATATGCCAAATATTCACAATTGGTAGACGTGACAGATCCACATGTCACAAGTACCAAAAACGGTGGAAAAGAAACACCACCAAACATAGCTTGGATGGACAAAAGGCAACCGCCTGTCCAGCTTGGATGGAATAGAGCCCCAAATCTCACAATTCCATCGTCTGATCCATACCTTCTCCAGTTTCAAGATGCAACCCAGCGCCAGGGCTCACTCACAACTCAAGAGAGCCGCAGTGCAGCTTCCCGGCTTTGGGCCGCGCCTCTCAGGCTCTTGGTGGATGCCTTTGCCAAGTCAGCAGAAGCTTTGCCAGTCGCTGGGACACGAATTGACCCCCCAAGGACCTTGATTTTTGAGCCCGGATGAGAAGGCTGAAGAGTGTTTCACAGTAGGGGAGTAGTAGACTGAAAATGAACCTTTGGAAGACTATTTTCCTCTACAACCCAGTGGTTTTCAGGTTCCATGTTAATCTTCCAGGGCGTAGGCATTCTTCAATCAGTTACGGATGTCCTTTTGTCTATTGGTTTTCATGTCCTAAGGACGCAAAGTCAAGAAGAGGTGCTAATCAATGAGATGAGCCCCACAAAGTTGTAAAGCTGGGGACATCACCACATTCTTTGCCTTTGCTTTTACACAAAGATAGTTGGGTGATGAGGGGGACCATTCATATGGTCCACAACACTATCGGTTTCTTCTGTACTTTTCAATTGACCGATGCAGGGTATATATGTGTTTATCGTTTTCATTGTCCTTCCATCACCCCAAGGGAGTCTTGAACAACGCGGCAGCAGCTTTCTTTTTTTGTTTTGGGAAGTCAGTTCCATGGCCAGGTTCTGACTTATCTCATGACCTTCATCGTGCTGTTCTTTGCAACTGGTATCTACTTGGTGGAAGAGAGAGACACCATTCCCAGCATGCCCCACTCCTTGTGGCTGGCCCTGGTCACCATGACCACCGTCGGCTATGGGGACTATTATCCAAAGTCCCTCTCAGGTGCCGGGTGTGGTTGTCGCTGCATTATGCTCAATGTGTTTTCCGGTCTGAAGCATCGGCAGATTGGTGAAACACACCTGTTTTCCGGTGCAAGGCGGAGTGGCAAGCACAGACACATGGCAGCTGTGTTTTGAACTTTAAAACCAACTCCATACCCTTCCTGACGTGGCCGGGCCCCAGCTCCAGGCTATTTGGTTTGTTCGTGCTTGACCTTTGTGAGCGTCTTGTTCTTAGCCTTGCCGGTGGGTATCATCGGTCACGAGTTCAACAAGAGCTGGCAGAAACGGACTGAGATGTGGCTTGGCTCAAGTCGTTGGACCCACTGTTGGGCAAAAGCAGCCATGAAAGGCTGGCCAAGGGCCGAGACCAAATCAGTTGTGCCGTCATAGTCCGTCTTTGTTGGTCTTCGTCCCTTTGGTGCCAACACGGATGGTCTACCTTTTGATGCTTGTTGCGTTATATAGATTTATATGGAGTGTTCTCTAAATCTAACACGAAATCCGAAACGGACCTCAAAAGCATCCTTTTGCACCAATGTCTCCGGCAGATGGCGCAGGCTGCTCAAGACACGTATGCGAAACTGCTTGGCCAAGTGGGGCTACGGCGCTTCGGATGTGGAAATCCTCATCGACTCTTGGCATGTGGATCCGGAGGATCCGGATTTGAAGGACGAACCTACGAACGCGATGGCCTCCAACCTAGTGGCGATGGTAGCGATGGGATAGAATGGATGGGATAGGAAAGGATAGGATAGGAGAGGCTAGGATAGGTGCCTTTCTTGGTCCGAACGACCCCTGATTGGGCGGGGGTTGGCAAAAAGGGAACCAGCACAAGCAGCCCAAGGGTTTTTGGGTGAAGTCCAAAAATGAGGAACCATTACGACCACCACGAAGGCGGGACGATGGCGGGTCCCGTCATATGGGTGGATCAAAGTGAGGAATTTCTGTTGGAAGATAGTGCTCCAGTCCAGTAGGCCACCAGGCATCCAAGCTGTTGCACCTGCATGGCCATTCTTTGGTCTGGTTTTGTCCACCGGGCTGAAGTAACTCGTTTTGACACGGGTGAATGACCCCGCCGTCTTCACCCAATGGGGATCGGGAAGAAACTTGTGCCGCAAGTGAGGAATATGCGGATGCGGACGGTGATGGCCATCTGGTTTCTTGGAATGTTTTCATTTTTCAGGGCGGATTGGTGGGGGCTGTCGAAACGCAAGGGATTGGGATTGGGTGGCCCCGTGACCAAAAATTCGGTCCTGGAGTAGGCTTTCAAAAGCATATGTAGTAGGATCAGCAAATGTCCCGCCAGAAAGCATGCTCACCATTGGCTTTGCTTCGAAAAGACTTGAAGTCTTGGAGCGCAACTGTTGCTTTGGTCCCACTCGAAGAGACGAAGCGAACACTGCCCCACGTTTTCTTTCGCTCTCGCGAGAACTCTCACGTCCGTCCTTCTCTCGATTCTGGTCGGCGAGGTTCGTGCAGTCGGAGCCATCCGAGGTTCTGGGAGAGTTCATTGAGTTGGTTCGCCAGATGCGGATCGGCGTGAACATCGAGACTGCGGCCGGGACACCCGAGATCTGGGGACACCCGAGATCGGAGAGCCGGAGAGTGGAAAACAGGTCGAATGAGTTGGTCAAGTTGGTATATCAGTGGACACAACCCCCTCTAGTCCAACCAAGAGCTTTCTGCTTTCAGCTTTCCGAAGGGTTTGTGAACCAACATTGATTCCGCCTGTAGGCCAAGCTCTTTCACATGTTGGACAGCAATCGCAATGGATTTCTGGAGCGAAGTGAGCTCCTTCGAAACATTTTCCCGGATGAGTACGTGAAGCACACGCAGCAGATCTCTGATGAGACGCTGGGCAGATCGAGGCTCGGAGGGGGAGCTCCGAGGGGAGCTCGTGCCAGCCTGAAGTGTTCAGACGTCCAAAGACGTCTGGGACCGAAGGATCCAGGATATTCCTTGACTCGGGTCATCCAAGGACCATTTTGAAGAAATACTCTTAGGACTCCCAGGGAAGTGGCACTTGGGGGATTTCCACTTCCGATTCGTCTCCGCTGGCCGATGCCTTACGTTTTCGGCGCAGGCGGCGCATCGGCATGGCGCTGGAACGACTGGATTCGTTGCGCTCGAGTGGAAGCTCAAAGGTAAGCTTTCCCTCGTCAGAGGCCGCCTGGGGTTCGCGGTGCTGCCGAAACTGGGGGTTGTGGGATGGGCTTCGATGGGTTTGGACCAGTGGCTGGTGGTGAGGGGGGCAGATTGGGGCAGGTGGTCCCGCAGAGCTTGGGGGCTAAGAACTAGGTCGACCGAGACACCCCGGTCGACTGGTGGTGCACCATCTCGACGGGCTCCACCGGTGGTGCACCATCTCGACCTGTTTTCGTCACAGGTTGGCCTCGAGTGCTTCGATGCCGACCGCATGGACCGCCTGGGACTGGAGAACGACTTGCATGGCGCGGTGGTGGAGAGCTCGGAGACTTCCTCACCGACGGAGGTGGTGTTGCAGTCATCGACGGAGGTGGTGTTGCAGCTCCCGCTGGAGAAGCGTGAGATGAGGGAAGTGAAAGCGACCCTGTGAGCAGACCGAAGACACATGAAGGGGGTTTGAGGGAAGTCAACTTCCTCTTTGCTTCGAAAGAAGGCTTTGGGAAAGCGGCCTGGTTTTACCGATAGCCCACAGCTGCCTGATTCCTAGCAAAGGCTGCTAATCTACACAAAGTTTATAGCTTAGTCTGCCGCTTTATGAAACATTTGAACGATACCACGCTTGAGGCTCCTCGTACAAGCAGAGGCTAAGGCTGCTAAGGTGTGTAGGCTCTGTTCGCTTGGAATGGATCAGACTACGGGCTGTCGCCGACATTTTGCTGGCAAACCGGAAGAAAGACAACGCTTGTGATTGCGCCGCGAATGTGAGTGCATCACTTGCCAGTCGCACACACAAGCCACTTAAAGAAGAGCTGAGAGCTACTCCACAGTATTGGAGTTTGACAGCCAGGAGTTTCAATCAGAGACAATGATGTTCCTGTTTCAATAAAACCTGCAGAGGCCACCTCGTAAGTTTACTGGGGTTGATCTGGAAAACAATGTCAGAGTCAGACTGACCCAGCTTCAGTGGCGATATCGATTGATATCATGATATCCTCTCTGGCCACCATTTCGGCCCTCACGAAAATCGTGCGTTCTCTTTTGGAGGCCGCTCTGATCATCGCCCTGGATCAGAATCCACCGGAATTCACTCTCAAAAAGACCTTAGGAAACCCAAGGTGACGGTGCTGAGCTTTGGTGAAACTGTTCTGGGCAAGAACTGTTTGTTTTTCAACTGCGACTTGGTGCAGTGCCCTCGCCGACGTGGACGCTTGGTTTGCGCACCCAAAAAGAGGGCGGACGGACTGTATGACACGGGCCAGGTCTTTGCCGCCAAACGGATGAAATGGCCAGGTGCAGTGGTTGTTCTTATTTTTTGCCCCAAACAAGAAGAGTCAAGTGGCTCAACAAAAACCTTTTGTTCCTATGATTATAGTCTTGAGTCTTAAGTCTTAAGCTTATAATCTTATATTTAGCTCGTTTTCATCTTCCCGGCGACGTGTTCGATGGAGCCGCTCCCATTCCTTTGTCGATCCAACGATCCCGTTCGCTTGCATGACCCACGGGAAAACGAGAAATCGGACCCATGGATGGTCGGACCTAATGCCTTTTGGTTGCCCTTGGGCCACAGCACTCAAGGCACGGAGGCCTGGCTTCTCCGCCCGCCATGCCGTTCTTGCCGGGGGTGATCATCGACTCGACCTCCGAGGGACGTGGCAAGGTGGAGTTGGAGCATTCCAAGAAGCGTGGCCTGACCCCTGAGGTGATGGGTTTAGAGACCCCAGAGACCCCCCACAGATTTGAGCAACAGTGGGTGAAGGGCTGTTCGCGGAGCTTGGATGTGCAAGAAGCAACTCCCTGAGATGAAAGACCGCCCAGGATGTTCAAAGGTGAACATCGATCAGAGGTTTTGTCCTTTTTCAATCGCGTGCATAACGCTTTATACATTGTAGGGAGCGAGGAGCTGCGATGATGGACCCTGACACAGGACTCCCCCAAAAGGACCCATCAAACGGCTTTTCACCCACAGCAGTTGAACCATCAAGCAGCGCCTTTCGCACTCCGAAACGAAATGTTCGAAACCACCCAACGCGGGGCCCAACCGGGGGCCACCCCCTCTTCGTGTGTGGCGTGCGTCGCTCGCTGCCGAACTCCATCGGTCTGTCGCTGGCCGGTCTCAGGTTCGGCCGACTCCATCGGTCTGGGCATCGAAGAGCGCTTGGATCGACTCTCCGAACAGATGGACCTGTGCCTTGCCGAGGCGCCCGATGGGGGCCGCGTCATGGACCCGGATGGGGAAGGCATGTGCTGTTGTATATATTTTCTGCCCAGCGGAGCTTTGGGGTCTTCAGCCAGAGAAAAAGAAGACTTTTGGGCAGATGAAAGTTCCGGAGGCATGCTGATGTGCTGTGTTTGCGGGATACCTATCAAAAAGAGAATCGATTCTTATCAATAAAAAACATGATTCCTGTCAAAAAACATTAATTCGTATCAAAACACACACACAACTTGCGCTCCAGTCTGAACGCACCTCCTAGTCCTTCCCCATAGGGGGGGTACTGGAGGGGTAGCTACACACAACCCTGTAACATCACGTGCAACGAAACCGCAAGTCTGATCGGCCTATTCCCAGGGTCACGACCAAGCGAATTATCTACGGATTGCCGAGTGTAGTATGCATCGAAATTATGAATTTACGAACCAAGCTCAATTGAATCCAAAGGTTTGTTTGTACGGAGACATTTCTTAACCCTTTGGTATAAGTTCTGCCGTTTAGGAAATGGGAGATCAACAGGGAGGGATTCCGCCAGGATCAGGTTGGAGAGATTCGGCACGAAAGGGAGTCGAACGTTAAGTGGGTATGGTTGTTCAGGTGTTGAGGCATATTCGCGCAACAGTTGCATCGCTGCTTCACGTTGGGGCAAGGTGAGGCGTGAGGCTATACCACCAATTAAGCTACGATGGAATCCCAAGCGTACCAGGGTTGACGCAACGCTTTTTTGTACCGTGGATACAATTTGATCTTGGCTGTATGTTCCAGGTACTGAACCACATAGCGAAGATTCGTGGCCTGGTGCGATAAACTTCGAACATCTGGTTTTTGCAATTTAACTTCATCGGAGAAAAAGTCGAAAGGATGCGCGGGTTGGTGATCTGCGACCTTAATCCAGATCGGCATGCACTTACCAGCGAACAATGTGAAATGAATCACAAGTTCATACCAGGTAATGCCATACTCAAACTTATCAATTATCTGATCCGCGCCAGACAAGGGTTTGGAAGAATTTCCATACACACGTCGCTATCTGCGCTCCCGCGGGACATGCATGTGCAACAATGTCTGGTAAGGAATCAGCGAAAACCCAATGAGGACCTTGGACCTCCCACTTACTAAGTGTCTTTTGTAGCAAAGAAATTTCATCCAGGCCCTGCGCATGCAGGGCTTCACCTTCTGCCGCTTCTTTTTCGATCCTAAGGCTTGATTGAAGACTATTCAATGTACACAAGTATTTGTATACACATAGCAAGTCTTCCATTTGTCTCTGGCTGTGAATGTGAATATTATTTGCTGCTTGACGAAAGCTTGTCGATTGATGAGTTTTGCTGTCTCGTCTGCAACTGTATTGCCCAGGATAGTATAAAGGTCTGGCAAATCACATGCGTCTAACCTTTGTACTATCCTGGGTAATACAAAACAAGATTCCTCCCTTTGTCCTGGTCCGTTGGTCCACTGGTCCCTTGGTCCTGTGGTCCCTTGGTCCTCTGGTCCCTTGGTCCTCTGGTCCCTTGGTCCTCTGGTCCCTTGGTCCTTGGTACTCTGGTCCTGGTCTTCGGGTCCTTGGGTCTGTACTTTCGAGGCAAGACGCGTTAAGCGTGATTGTGAAATCTCCTGGTCATACATCCTGTGAAGCACTGTAGCAAAACTTTTATCACCAGACGTAGCAGACCTTTTGTGAGTCACCCAAAGGTAAAATTTGGATGAGGAAGGTGGCCTTCCAAGGTAGCAAACCTTTGGCGAGCCACCCGAGGGTAAAATTTAGAACGTAGCATGCTATTTGTTAGCCTTGCGAGGGCAAAACAATTGGGGAAGACGCTGCCATTCCAACCTAGCAGGCCTTTGTTTTGTGAGCAACCCGAGGGTAGAGTTTGGAGAAGCAAGGTGCCATTCCAACTTAGCAGACCTTTTGTGAGATCTACAGGTCTGGAGATTCAGGAGATCACGGTTGAGAAGCAGAGAGGTCTACATCTACAAAGATCCGAAGGCCTGGACATCCAGACAGATCCAGAGGTGTAGAGGTCTAGAAGCCCAGAGATCTTGCAGAGGGTCAAGAGATCGACAGAAATGTTGCGCCTGCCACGCAACCTGCACTTCCTGCGCCTGCCACGCAATCTGTAATTTAGAGGTTCACCCAGCGCCGCGCCTGCCACGAAATCTGCACTTCGAGGTTCACAAAGTGCTGCCCCTACCACGAAATTTGCAAAGCTTCACAAATCGCTGCACCTACCACAATATGTTCTTTTGATATAGATTAATCTTCTTTTTGATAAGATTTGAAAAACTTTTCTTGACATAGATGTGTTTTTTTCATAGCCCGGCCTGTTGTCACGCTGACGTGCTGAGGTATTGTCACGCCAATATGTTGACATTGATGGCGCGTTGACACACATGATCTTGATGCTGGTTGTCACACCGAGGTGTTCTCGGGCTATGTTGCTCACATGTTGTCATGCTGGCACACTGACACAGGTCATATCAGGTCATGCTAACATGCTGACACTTGTCACGTTGGAATGCTGACGTCGGGCCACGCTCTCGTGCTGACAAGCTGACAGTCTGGAGACCGGGTTCGGGAGAAGGTTCCGTGCAGCGCTGTCATGCTTGCGCATATGTGAGCACACAAATCGCGATGTGGTGATGCTTGCATGCCGCATTGAAAAGAGCCGCATGTTTCAAAGCAGCATTGTTTAACAAAGACAGAACTGTTAGTGAATTTGCCATGTTGCCACCAAATAGGCGAGCCCATGCCCAGCTGTTGGGTATTCTTGTGTGGGCAATCGCTTGTTTGGAGGCGTTCGTTTTCGGGTTTTTCGTTTTGGGGTCGACTTGAAATCAGGCAGTTTTTCCCGGCGACATACTTTGGGGTGACGAGTGTTTTTTTGCTGGGGGCTGAAGGCTTGGGAAACATATCAAATTTTGATTTGTGGACAGGAAAGAGCTCAAGGATAAACATCCCGTTCATCCTTCGTTACGTGGTTCGGGCCCATCGAAACTCTTCAGCGTGTTTCTTCTTGCTCCCCTCCTTTGACACCTTGAGCGCACGGAACCGCGTGTGCCACTTCCGTTTTCTTGTCCTTCTTGGTCCTGAAGCGGGTTTCGCTCCAAGAAACTAAAGAACACCAGAGATCATGTCCCATGGAGTCCCGTGTTTCAGGTCGTTGCCTTGAAACCGGTTGGAGACTTGCATCCGCGCTCCTGGAGCGGCGTCATGCCACCCCTTCGCGCGCGCCCGTCCACGACGCCGTCGCGGGGGCAGCTGAGAGTGGCGGACCCACCGAGCCAGCGAAGTTCCAAACGGTCTGCACGGTTCTCGCAGAAGACGGATGGCGCCTTGGAGATGAAGAAACCAAAGATTCCCAAGAGGTTGACTTGTGCTTTGGTCACGAATCATCCACGAAACTAGGATTGGGCATGCAGGGGGGCTTGGAGGTGAATTTTCCTGTGGTCAGTTTGGAGGTTCATGGTTCACCCCTGCGGATTGTAGCCAAGCCTCGCAAGAATCCGTTGAAATGAGTCGTGTTGTTCACATTTTAGCACCTTGTGGATTTGTCATGCATCGCTCAGGAAGTGAAACGACGGTTGTGGAACAGCATGTCCTACAGAGCCGACCGACCTTAGCAACCAATCACAGAGGAGAAGGGCTGGGGTCGGACACAGACCTTGGCATGGTCTGTGAACAGACATCGTCTTGGTCACCGTTTTAACACCCTTTCTGGCTGGAAAGGACACCTAAGACACGCACCAAGTTGACCTGACGGGCTCATGAGTCCGGGTTGAACCCCCAAGGGCTGGATCGACGGGAGCGTCAGGAGCTCGCGAGCGTTTCAAGAGCCAAGCTGTGCCTCGGTCGATGGACTTGGAGATTGCATGGCGATTGCACGCCAAGAACAACCGAGAGGATGAGGAGGATGGAGATGCGAGCGAACCGTTCGTGGGTTTCATGATCAGATGCTGTTGGGGTTTAAGAAAGGAGAAGTGAGTCCTTGCATGGAAGAACTCCCCCCCCACACACACGCACACCAAGCTTATGGTTGGCTTGAGTGACGGAGATGAGATGCCTTGTATGGGATGGCCCCCAAATAGATAGGATTACATGGTTTCCAATACATGTTTTGTGGGGATGACCCGAACTTCCGACTGGGGCCGTCTTCGAATTGGGGCATCCCAGATCGACCGTCCGACCCACCAAGTCCGGTGAGACCGGTGGTAGAGGGAAGATAATACCCATCCCGTTACATGGTGGTGAAGCGTAGCCTTTCCACCCAAAAATCATCCCAAAGTGCCAGAGAACCTGAGACACCTCAGAAATCTCTGTTGCTTTTTCGTAACGCAAAGTTCCGCGCACCTTTTTCCAGTGTTGCGTTGGTGGACGCATTCCACCCGATTTGTGAGCATGGGTCGTGTGGATCGGATGCTGTTGGGATTCTTTTCTTGGGAGATCGTTGGAGATGATCGCAGGAGCCAGTGGCCTTGAAGCCTCTGCTGCGCTTGGTGGAGCGCAGCCGCCTCGATATGTTGTGGGATCTTTGGACTGATATGTTGCCGCCGTGCCGAAGAAATGGGGCCAGGGATGGCCAGGGTTCCGCTGCAGTTTGGGTGGGGTACATATGGTTCTTTTAATGGTCCGGGGGCTTTATTTGATTGTGCCCCTTGTGGTTGACTAAAAAGACCTTGGACCACAGAAAATGTAGGAAGGGATCAACTTGCTTCGAAGAGCTTCCTCCCTTCAAGGCGTTCTTCTCTAACATCTCGCGCAGACTAGAAATATGCAGTCAGCCCAATCGGCAGCTTCTTACTGTAGCAAGAAATGGGTAGCTTTAGTCTTGACAAAAGCACTGGACCATGTTCCTGATTGCCCTCTGTTCATCTGTGAACCTGATCAAAACAGCCTCCAAGACCCCAATTGTATCACGTCAAAGAGACGCACAGCTTTTCCAAAGCTCGGCACGGTCTCCGGTCTGGACAAGCAAAAAGCAACTGACCCGATCACAGTTGATTCAGCCTCCTTCACAGTTTTCCTTTCGCCTTTGTGCGTGGCCTTTTTCACGATCTCCCACCTTCGTCCATGCCTTTCGCCTCAGCTCGGGTGACTCCCGTTTCCACGCGCAGCGCCGGAGGAATTGCTGGATGATCCGTCCTCGAGTCGGACGGCCTGGTGGGTGTCTCAAGTCCTCAAAGGCGATTGTGCTCAGAGTACTGTTGGGGACATGTCAGAGGCCTTTGCTTCAGAGCTGTAGAATGAATCTCTTCATATCCGATGATCACATTCAGTATCTCTTAAGCTAGACTATATAAGCACGGAAGCTTCATGCGCATGCTGGTCGAACGCTGCGTGGTTTGGCGACCAAAGTAGTGGCTTCCAATTTTTGGCGGTGGTGGTTACAAAAGCTTCTTAAGACTTCGTTTTTTGGAGCTTGAAACATTTTCGAGCAACGCTCTCCCGTATGACTTTGATCCGACCAACGCTCTCCCGCCCAACACGCCGCTCCCCGATGTGTGTCTTTCGGTGTGTCTTTCGCACCTGTTCGATGTGTCTTTCGACTGACCTGCGGGGCGAATCTACTGAACTGTGTACTTTATTCTCTTTTGGGGGCCTTGGGAACGGGCTTGAACACTTTTCAACCCATCAGTGGTGATACAAGATGAAGGTTCTCCCCTACCCGAAGCGCAGGGATGAAGGTGCACCAGGTCACTGGCCATAGCTCACATTGAGAGGGGTGATCTAACACTTTCAAGAGTTGGAAAAGGAGACCAGTCGATGGGTACACCTGGAGACATCCACTAAATGGGTCCAAGACCAGTCGATGGTTCAAAGCCAGTCGATGGTCGAAGCATGACCAGTCAAGTGGTTGGGGCTCTTGTCATCTCTGACCTGTTGGACAGATTCCGCTTTCCTGACCAGGCATTGTGATTCTCTCCTTGCTCTTCTCGAATCTGCAAACCACTGAAGAGCCAATCCTAGACACGGCTTTTGCTGCTGCAGCTGAAACCGCTCTGGACTGCATTTTCTTGGTGCCTTGGATGATTGCTTCTTTCGCCGTAAACGGCCGGGCGAACACAAAAACGACGTCCGTGTGGCGGCCGTGACGCGTGACGGGTGGTTCACCCCCGTGGTCTGGAGAAGGTGGGCCCCTCACATCGGACCAAAGCTGTTTTGCAGAAGCCGAGGCTCTCTGAGGGAGGTAGAAGCCTATGAAACCCTTCGGTCAGAACGGAGCGAGGTATTTGTGCTCCCTGGTGATTTTGGCAGCACCTGCACAGGCGGTTCCCTGCTGTGAGAGAGGCAAGCCACCGTGTGTGCTTTTGATTCACCAGGGGCACGCGCCAAATGCTTCCTACCTCAAAGACTAGGGCCATGGTGGGCCCTTGAACCCAGAAACGAAGCCTGGCCCGAAGCCCCTTGACGCCCGGTGGGGTGCCCTCGGATTGTGAAGTGAGGTTCGCGGCATGGTTTTGGGGTCGACATGGGGGTCGACATCTATGGGGTCACGGGCCGACACCTACGGATTTTTGTTTTTTTTCCTTCACCCATCCCTTAGATGGAGGGCTTCGCTACAGGAGCTGACAGGTCTGACAGGCCAAGGGCATGGCTTGAACGCTTCGCTTCGCTGCGGCCGGTGGACCCTCCGAGGTGGAATTCTTGTGCCGAATCCTATCTGCACCCTTGAAGAGGACAGGCCCTTTTTCTCAATACCCGGCAACGCTGATATGTTATTTTCTGTTTTCAGAATATCGAGTTATATAGTTGCTATCTGGGATCCAGGCCGAATTTCTGTCATTGTCTGGTCAGTACCCATCGGCCCCATCGGCCCGCAAGGAGTTATGCTTTGGATCCGTTGAACTGGGCAGACATGTGGTCAGCCATGGGGCTTCCGCTCAGGGCATCCATTGGATTTGCCACCGAGCCGAGACAGTTTGACATCCGGAAGTTGTGCTAGTTGTGTGGGGTAGAAGTAGGTCCTGTGCAGGTGCATGTTCGTCTTTTGTTGGCTTCAATCCTTCTTTTCCTTGGGAGACATGGGGTGTGGAACATGCAAAGAGAACAAATCGCGTGGAAGATGTTTGACTGTTTGACTAACTTTCATCACCGTCACTTCAGGGCAGCTGTTTGAATCTGGTTTTCCGGAGTGATCTTCAACCATCTTGGGCCAGTTGATGCTCCTACTTTATGCATCTTTATTCCCCATAAAGGACCTCATTGTGTTCAACTCCATTTCTCCAGCTTTTGTTCGACTCCATCGTTCTGACCTGACAGTCAGGTTCGTCCCAAGATTGCGCACTGGGTTTTTCCAACATCTTGGCGCCTTTCGAACATGGGCGAAATGATAGGTCATTGCATCGCTTCCACGAACGGCAGGTGCTGCCAGGTGCGACCATTGGGTCGCACCTGGCGCTGTGTTGCGCCGTTTTTTTTTTGGCTTTTCGTGACGTGACGTGAGGTGATTTCCCAGAGTCCGGCGACTCTGGCTGAAGATCTGGTGCAGCATTACCTTCTATTCTTTTTGCCTTTGGTGTCTTGATCAAAGATATGCTTGAGCTGGTTGGGGTTCTCTTCAATTTGTTTTTGCTGGAGATAGGAGACCAATTTGCTTTCAATGATGTATGTAATGTCCCCCGCTTTTTGTGGCGGACATGGCCTCATCATCATGGCCTCATGTCTTGTCCCAAAGCTCACTTGTCAGTTTCCAGCTCTGCCTGCGCTTGCTCGCTCTAGCTTGACTACTTTTTAAAGCTCTGGAGTTGCTTTGGCTTCCCGCCATCAACACACGGACTTCGAACGAAGACCTGTCCACATCAGGGTTGCTGCAAGTCTTGATCTCTCCTTCCTTCCCAACTCTATGGGACTTCGTCCAAGCTAGTTCTGGCTAGCACATCTTCGAAGCCATGCCTACGTGCTATGTAATGAACTCGGAAGTCCAGCAGGATTGAGAAGACCCTGGGATTCACGAAAGTCAACAAGAATGCCCCAAAGCAATGAACCGGACCAACTTCTGCGGAGTCGACCTTGTTCATCTTTTGGATTGCAACTTGGCACCTGTGAAACACGGCGACGCATACCTGTTGGGTGGGTCCATCCATGATTTTTGCCATTGGGGCGGTATTTTTTTGGGGGGACAAACCCCGGGCGCAAGGTGCGCTTCTTGAAGCTCTTGAGATACTTTGAATCCTTCAGGCTGGGTGGACGTCCGCGCCCGAATTCGGAGCCTGACTCGGCTTTCTTCGTTGTTCTTCGGGGCACCTCGTCCGTTTTGGTGAAGCTGTTGCTACCTGTTTCGGGAGGTCGTCTGTTTGGGCCGTCGGTGTCAGACTTTGAGCTGTCTGTGGACGGGCATTCAGATCTTTTCCTCTGGTTCTGATCAACCACCGCCCTTTGAAATGGCCCCCCAAAATCATCCTTCCGACTGGCGAGCCAAGAAAGACCATTCCGCGCATTCTGCAGTGTTCTTGGGTGTTTGTCCTGTTTGCTCCGAATTCAGCGACCTTTTGCTCACCATCTCACCCATTTTCTTTTTTTTAGAGAATACAGTGAGTCCCAGATAGGTTCAATGTCCCAGCGCGAAACGTGCCCATGCCCCGTCAAAGCCGTCGCCCACGAAAGCATGCAGATTCCTCCCAGTTTCAGGCCAGATATGTTCACAACTCTAACACTAGGTCGCTATTCGAAGTGAAGATTTTGTACATGTTCAGGACTTTCTGCATTCCTTTTTTCGTCCCCAGTATCTACTTTTCTGGTCCAAACGGGTCATCCTTACCCTCTTGCCCCCCCCAGGCTTCTCATTGATGCCTGTGGGAAGAGCGCAGAGGCCCTCCCGGTGCTGACGCTCGGCACGTGGAAGTCAACGCCTTTTGTTTGTGAGGAAAAGAAGCATTGTATTTCCATTCAAGGATGGGACCGGATGTCTTTTTCCCTTTTCAGTTTGCTTCAGGACTTTACGGACAGATAGAGGGAGGACATCCTTTATATATCCTTATATACCCTTCTACGTGACTTCCTGTTGGGTTAAAAGCGAGGTACATGGTACGAAAACGACATGAGTTGCATGAAAGGTCATATCACTCATATCGTACTGGTAGTACATTTTCTTTATTCATCAATCATGAGAGCTGGCCAGTTCAGAGTCGGGTCTTGCTTAGGTCGTGAGATTCATCAATCTGTTAGACTTTTTGCCAACTGTTCTTACAGGAAAATAATCTTCCAATTCTGGACTGTGACCTTTCTTAAGTGATAAGCAATTGCAATGGCAATGCCTTCTTTCCTATTCCTTCGATTCAGTCCAGGATTTACATGACTGCACTCATCGTGCTGCTCTCGGCAACGGCCATTTATATGGTCGAGGAGCCGTTTGAAGCGTGTCTCGCCGTCCGCTTCCGATCACGGGCGCGGGAGATCACGGTTCAGCACGAACCTGGCGATCCAACAGGGTTGAAGAGGTGTGTGAGTGGGGGGTTGATCACAGTCCCAGTAGCTCTGGCCTGCTGCCCAAGTGCAGCAGGGCACTAACCCTCCTCCTTCCTTGCTCCCTTGTTGTTTAATCAGTATATGTCTTTGCAGCTTGAAGGAAGCTTTTGATTTGGCAGCTGAACAGGTGGCATAGCTGCTTTTGCAAAACTTCTTGTGTTTGCATTCCTTGTTCTTCTTGTTGTAATGAAAAGGACGGTGCGGCCTTCGCGTTTTTGTCTCAATGATGAATGCGAAGAGCCCCGTCCTACATACCACAGAATGAGGTTTGTCAACCCCTTCCACTTGGATACTGAGGGGGCTCCATGATTTGATTCCTGCGGCGGGAAGCTCTAGCCTTACCGTGGGTGATGTGGCTGAAAGTCTCCGGGATGAGCTCCCTGTCCAGTGGTCACTGACTTTGCGCGGGCTCTGGCTGCAGGGCCCCTTATGGATAGGAGCCGGGCTCGGATCGGCAAAGCAAAGGCTGTCACTGGCGCCCTAAGTTTGCCAGCCACAAGCTTGGGTTATCAATGTTATGCGCCTTCCTGAATTCTCCGGCTGTGGAGGCTTGAGTTAATATGGGCAGGTGGGGCAAAGGAGGCTGTGCCCCTGCCACTTTCCGTTGTGGCTCAACTGGAGGCGGCCTCGACGACTTGCGGAGAACATGACTTTTTGGATTCTGGGTTACATCTTGCTGATGGTTGGGCGGGGCTGTGCTGGAGCGATGCTCAGCGAGTGCAGTTCTCCTCACTGTGCTGGGATAGCGGTTCCTTGCGTGGACAGGCTTCCAAACGAGCTACTGACCCTCCTGCCATGGGGAGCAGCATTTGCACTGGTGGGGCAGGGCAAAGCCACCATACGGGAACTTCAGTGACCATGGCCACATTGCCTTCCATTTCGCTCTTACAGGGAGTCAAGGCTCACCAGCAAACCAAAGACTGTGACGGCTATGAAGGGCCGTCGGAAGACGGATCCCCATGAGGCTTTCATGGAAGCTCTGGTGTGCGGGGCAGGCTTCTATGAGGAACAGTGTGATCAGTATGACAAGGAGCTATCAGTGGCCCCGTGCCAAGTACAATGCCTATGCCATGACTGGTGCATGTCCCCTGGGTTCTTGGGCGCTTTACAATCCTCGCTTCTTCGAGTACTATACTAAGGACTGCAGTGAGCATCAGTGTTTTCTCACCGCCTCCCAGGCAGAGGAGGCCGACCAGCTGGCACTGCGAGAAGTATTTGGCTTTTGTTATTCTGGAGCTTCGCTGGACGAAGCGTTGAGCACCATTGCGGTAGACCGGGATATGTTGCAGTTGCTGATGCCTCGCCAAGCGGATTCTGAATGGACGGCGTGGACGTGGGACGTCCGTGGTGCACACAAATTCGTTCGCGTTGCCGAAGCAGAGCGAGGCTACAGTTGCTTTGTGTACGAGAACCGAGAACCGTTGGTTTCACGACGCATGCTGCTATTTCGGAGCACTTTTCCAAAGACCCCACCCGCCCTCTTCTGGACCGAATTAGGGGCATGTTTAGTAAGCCAGGCACGTGGAGCATGTGGAACATGTGGTGCAACGACAACAGTTCCCTCGGTTTGGGCAGGGCATTTCATGAGAGCGTGCAAATTCGCAGCTGTTTTTGTGTTTGTTGCGAAGGACCGGAAAAATATCCCCAGCATGCCTCACAGTCTCTGGTTGGCTCTGGTGACGATGACTACTGTGGGCTACGGCGATTATTATCCCACATCTCTCGCAGGCCGATTGCAGAGCAAGAGCAAGGGTTTGCATGTTGAAGGGGTAGTTTTGATATCTCCCAGTATTTGCCAATTGAAGCTGCGTCGCCTTTCGATGTTGGAAATCAACATTTGCATAGATTTGCATAGATAACTATTTGTCAAATTTCTTCAGAAGATTCCGTTTTTTCCCGCAGGAAAACACCTCACGCTGGTCACCTTTGTTCCTTTTGCACCTGTCAAGCAGATGTCAGACGTTCACCTCTTTTCTGGTGATAATTCTTGTGTCCGAACTCCCCCCAGGCTATCTCACCGTCTCCGTGCTAACCTTTGTGAGCGTTCTATTCCTGGCGCTGCCTGTGGGGATCATTGGCCACGAGTTCACCATGTCCTGGCAAAGCCGGACCCAGGTCCTTTTGAAATCGACCTCTTTGGCCGTTTCGCCACGTTTTGCAGCGGGTTTTTGGCTGCGGTCTTGGGGCGTGAAGTGGGGCTTCTGACTTTTGTGTTGGGGAGGGGTATCTTTGGGGTGATTTTCCAGTGGGTTTTGTTAGGTCTTGGTACCAAAACATGGTTGGGGTTAGAAACTGACGTTGGGCGCAAAAGAAGGGGTTGTCCAGTTTCGTGGGGGACGTCTCTCCTGACTGGGTGAGTTTCCACTATTATTTTTTACAGTGGAGTTAAAGTAGGTTGGACTTGAATGCTTGGACATCATTTCTCACAGTTGTTGGACAAAGAACTCTCCAAAGACAGCAGGTAACCCACAACAAATCACCGACGACAGGTGCTCCTCATGACGCGCTTTCGCAAGTCGCTGAACAAGTACGGCTATGGCGCGGAGGCCTGAATTTTCATGGAGAAGAGACTCATGTCATAGAAGATCATGAGCCAGGAATGGAGCAGGGGATGAAAAGCTGATGAAGTGGACGAGCTGATCGTCTTCTTTTTCTTGTGTGCGGCCATCATGGGTCATACCTTGTGACATTGATTGGTAGGTGGGGTGGGTGGTAGAGGGGGTGGCCTAAGGCAGGGCCCATCGGCCATCCAATCCCTTTGTTTCGTTCTTTCTCCACACCAGGGGGAGATTCTCGACCAATGTCGGTTGGATGATTCTTGACCGCGAACCATCGTGGGAGATGTCAGAGGGGCCAGTTGAGGCATGAAACGAAGGTCCATCAGTGTCTCGATCGTTTTGTTCATGCCGCGTGCTGTAGCATACAGCGTACCAGATTTCATGGCTGAGTGAACTGGGAACTGGTCTTGAATGCTGTGCTCCGACTACACGCTAGGATACATATCAGCCGAAAAATGGTTTCGTATCAAGACACATCTTAGTTCACATCAAAAGCAGCTTTGGTGTTCCTTCTTCTTCCCACCGCCCCAAAATCCCTCCCCATAATCCTTGCCCTGCTGGCTCGCCTTGACCGTGGTTTCCGTCCTCCCTGAATTGGATTCCAAAGCGGAACTTCCTATTGTTGCACGTTAGGACCAGGCAGCACAAGCTCAGGCACTTTTCTTGCGCCCGCGGGTAGATCTTAAGCCAGGAAGGACGCCTTTCTGGGCCACCCACAGGTAAAATTTGGATCAGGTGTAGTCGGCCAAGGTCATATTTTTCTTGTTCGCTGCAGCTTGGCCACCGAACTGGGCAGAGTCCCCCAAAGGCAGAGCCATACCAGGCAAGCATATCCGCCCATTCAGAACAAGGTTTGAGCTGCGATAAGTCCGATAAGTCTTGCCCGGGCTCCGATCGGACCAACCGAGCGGAGAAAAGCGAGCCCCGCTCTGCGCCATATAACAAGGTCAAACACTTCTTGCCCAACACTTCGCAAAATACCAGGCCTTTCTATGCGAAGCAAAGCCTTAGCCTTAGCCTTCGAGGGCACCCCTTTTTCTCCTTGCCTGGAGCTCAAACGGGCAGACCTCAAAACCGCCCCCGCAACCCCGATATCGAGCAAGGACTTTGAGAGTCCACCTGATCGAGACCAGTTCGGCTCATTTGTTCGCCTTTCTGAAAGGCAAAGACCAACCATTTTAAATGATAGAAACCCATTTGCTTTTGGATTCTTAATTGTTCTTCCTGATTCACTGCAAAATCTTTTTCTACCGCGGCCGGATCCGTGGCCGGATCGCGTGGAGATTGGAGGAGCTGCGAGTTCTCATTGATTACGTCGATGTGAATGGAGATGGTGAGCTGGCATTTGATGAGTTTGTAGAGCTCATCAACCAGATGAGGTCGCTGGGTCGGTGACGGGAGAACTAACGCGGAACCAGCTTGACCGGCAGAGTTCCGGGTGATGTACTGTAGTCATTTGTAGTCCGTGTATAGATGTCCGTCCTTGTAGTCCGTTTTTGTTTTGGGTGAATTGGTGACGCCGATCTAGCCAGGATCACGTGGTTTGCGTGTCTTCTCATCCAGTTTCTTTGACGCTTTGCTGTGCACTGTAAGCATACTGTCTGGGAGGATTGGTATTTCACGGGAGCAAGCGGCTCTACTTTTTGGGATTTTCGATATTGATCAGATGCTTGGCCAGTCAAGTGTGTGGTCGGGCCAGACAGGTCAGCTCTTTCGAAACCGACTGGAGTTCACAAGTAGTCAGAGCTTCCATGTGGACCATTGATGAATACGTCCCCATATTAAATATGGAGATGTGAGGTTTCACAAATCTCTGGCCCGAGTTATTGATCAACAGTTCACATCAAGTCAAGGGCAAGTGGTTTTCAATCGTACTACAAGAATGTGATATGCGGGATTTGTTCGGTTCGTTTGGGTTTTCAGGAGCCGTTGGAGTGCTTTTGGGCGACATCGAGAGAACGAAGCAGCGTGAGTCCTTTTAGGCGGCAAAAGAACGAAGCAACGCCTGCCGGGTCGAGGAATGGCTTCGTGGAGCACAAGGAATTCCTGAAGCATCTCTTTCCCCAAGAATATGTCCGTGCGGCATCTCAGTGGGGTCGCTGCGTCGGTGCGGCCTGTGCTTTTCAGACCGGACACAGGACACTGGACACTGGGTCCATGCGTTCCTCCCGCTTTGCGGTCCCATGCGGCGGAGACTAAGATGTGAATTCTATTTCTTCAATGCTCGCTTGTTGCCTTCCGAACCACGCATGTCGCCGCCCTATCCTTCGCGTGAAGCCCCCTTCTGAGGTCGGCAGAGGAGTCGGAACTCCAAGAGTCGTGTGAGCGCGGCGATTGAACATTTGGAGACTCTTCAGTCGGAGAAGGACACGGAGCCGAGACCGCGCCGTGGGTGGCGACGGGCCAAGGACCTAAGGAGCCGGAGAAGCGCCAAGGGTGGCCAGGATGGACAGGAAGAGAACGAAGCGTCGATTCGTGTTGGCAGAGGAATTCCTGCAGGCGCTCAATTCTGAAGAATGAGCATGACGGCCACTCTTTTTTGTGTGTTTGTGGGTTTACTGGGTAAGAAAGTATATGCCACAATGCGGTGTACAAAGAATGTCCAAAAAAAAGCCTGTCGACGGCCATGCCACGCGTTGTTTCCGCTTTTCATGCCATACACACCACTTTGTTTCGGGGTCGCACGTCTCAATGTCATGTGTATGTCGGTCAAGGTGATGTGCCCTCTATTTGTCTCGACAAAGTCCAGCTGCTGCAGGACTCGAAGGCTTCGAAGGAAGAAAAAGATGATCAGTCAGAATGATGACTGCTGGTGACCGCTGGTGCTGGCGATTTGTAATGCATCGCTCGGTCTGCAGCTGAGACTTGCTGAGTTGCATGTTGAGACATTGAGACTTGCTTCAGCTACTTATCTAGTAGATGACGTCTCAGATAAGCTGACCAGCCTCGTGGCATGGTGCTGGCAGAGTGCCCGACACTCCCTGCAACCCGACCCTCTCGCTGTTTGAGCGAGAGGGTGGGAAGCCAGGTCATTCCATTGAGAGCTTTGTGCAATACACTTGGAACACCTAATTTCCAATCCTTAGAACGAAGTTTGGTCAGGTCTCCCAATAAGTAGTCTTTTTTCTTAAGAATAGAATCATTGACGGTTGAGGTGAGCATTGCTCAGCCTGCCAGCACAAGCCCAAAGCTCGCAAGAAAATGGTCCCTCAAGGGGACCCCTCCGAATCTGCGGCAGCAACTTGACCGGGACCTGAATTGGCAGAAGGATTTGTTTAGACTCAAAGACCCAAAACTGGTGCAGAACTGCATGAAGCAGGTTTGTCCCATTTGGGACCTGAGCTGCATGGCTGCCGATTCGCCAAGGGTTCGCCCAAAAAAGGGGTGATGCTGAGCGCCATGGGGGGCACTCAACTGGGATCAATCAATCCTCAAATCCAGATCAATTGGGATTTGTGAAGCCAGCTTATGTCCAGGAGCTAACTTGTTCATGCTACCCTGGCAGAGGGTAAGCTTCGGGTGAATCGTTATTGGTTCCGGCTACTTTGGAGGTCTGAAAAAGATTGAAAAAGGGAGTTTCTACAAAGCGAGATACGTAACATATGTGTCCAAGGTCATTGTCATGGAACTCTACTATATATATATAGCTATATGCATGACATGTGTGGAGGTATGGCAGGTGGAGGTCTGGGGAGGGAGGAAAAATCGGATGGATGAAAGTGAGCGCAGCCTTTCATCCACACGTTCTCCCAAAGAAGCTATGATGCCGTTGGCTCCAGTGCAGCCGTTGTTTGCCATCAGTCTTTATATAGGTCTTTTGTATCATCACCTGAGATGTAGGTTGAGGCCGGTGCCTTTTTTATCTTCAGCATTTTCGTTTGTCCACGTGGATCTGAGAATCCGAAAAGACATGCTGGCCCTGGCCCTTTCTTGGTTTGGCGTTTTGGGCCACACGGCTTACGCATATTTTGTATCCTTAGCAATGAAAAGAGGTGAAACACAAGTGTCACAAGTGCAGTCATCCATAAACACCTCTTCTGCACCGGGAATTGGGCGTTGACCTGGTCCAGAAGCAGAGGCACGCGCTGCGCGGGCTTCGAAGACGACAGGAGACAGAGAGAATGAGAGAATTGAAATAGATTGCTTGGAGATTCAGTGCTTCCTCCACATGCGGATCAGATCGCTTTTGGGAATTGGGTGAAATCTGCCTGATTTCTTACCAGATCAAACGACCCCCTGCCAGCGGAGGACCGGCACCCCATTGAACCACGTTTCCTGCGTTTTTCCGCCCTTCGCGGGACGCCGCCATCCCACGGTTTCAGGGAGGGACCGAAGAGTCTGTGGGTCCCTGCCGGGTCGAGGACGGTACGAACGGAGCATTTTCGGGCATCGCTACGAACGGAGCGGTCGGACACCTTCGCAAGTTGAGCTTTTTCCCAATGAACGCGAGGCGGTTCCTGCGTGGTGGTGTCTCGTGTCTCGAGTCATGCGAGACCTGGAGCTTCGCGTGGTCTTCGAGACGTGGAGGGATCGGTACGTCACAGCCGTCGAAAACGCAGGTGTGCTGGGGACTTCAATGAAGCGTGAGTGAAGGAGGTGAGGTGGGATGCAAGTGGATAGTGTGGCACACAAGCAATCATGGTCAATGACCAGCACACGTGCATGCGTTTGATACATATATCCTACAAAAAAAAAAATATATATCATATATATATATACACATACACATACACAATACAAAAACATATGCAGCATTCCGAGTGCTTATTTATACTTGACAAGTTCTTCGAGGGTGTTGCAAGAGCCATGCTGATGCATATTCTCTTGGACCGACCGACCGAACGAACGACCGAACCACCGAACGAATGGTCCCCTTTGTCCAGTTGGCCCCTTGTCCGCTGGTGACCCCCTTGTCAGAGAAGATGAACCGGACCCATGTTCTGAACTATCGCTCCACACACTTGCATCATCCAGACCTGGCTGCCTATGCTTTTGGCTCTCCATACGACCTGCGCCAGTGTACTTGAGGCGGAGATGGGCTTCTCTCCGATGCAGGAGCTGCCATTTGTCATTCAGTTCTTTCCCTTCTTTGGTTTAAACTGAGTGTGCCACGGCAACCTGCCCGGGCTTTGTGCTGTTGGCACGCACCAGTATTCCCCCGCTACAGCCGTAGTAGTGCAGCCCATACACGAACATTTTTCTGGGTAGAATTCCAATCATTCCAGTGCGGTGGCTTGTACTTTTGATTCCATTGAGTTGGAGTGTGCTTTGGGGTGATCCTCGCATCTTAGCTCTTTGGTGCTTCCGTTGAAGGCAGACTCGTTCGACATGAGTTTGTTCTTCCTTTCACCAGCTGGCTGGGGTGAAGGGGATTGCTGGGTCTTGGGTTCAATTTCACTCTTTTCCTGTTAATCCCATGTTTATCCATGTTTATCCAATCCTTTTCCCAAGCTGGAGACTCCATATGTTGATGCATTCCGCTTTCAGATATTTTTTTGCAATGCATCACTTCATAGTTGACTGATTGGCTTCCGACCGTTCTGGTCGTTTTGAATGGCAGGAGGCTGTGAGAGATGGCGCAGAAGGGACTCTGGTCGACACCGGATCGAGGCGCAGCTGCGGCTGCTCGCGCTCGCTCTCTCTCTCTCTCTCTCTGCAGTTGTTCCATTGAAGCTGAATCTGTTTCCCAAGACAAGGTGTTGAAGAAGGAGCAAGAAGCAAGAAGGAGCAAGAGATACCGGAGACTTGCACTGTGGGCCCTCGTGAAGGGCATGCCAACGGCTGTTCCCTTGAATCACCCTGAAACTGTACTCCGTTTCTTAATGTTTCTTATCTTGGGGTGATCATGGGGATCTTGGTTTCTCGAGGAGGCGTGACTAATATCAGGTACACCGTTTTGACATTGATGCTGCGGTGCTTTTCGGTTTACGGCGCGGATGCGTGGCCAACAAATGCCAGAAAGACATATTCCATTTCGGATGTGTTTCTGTTGCTTGGAACCCATCCTCCCCTTTTATCAGGAACCCAACCGACCGGTGAGGCGCTTACTACCGGATCGACCACTCGATCTGGGCCAGCCGGGCGTCTTCGGCCTGCGGCGAGCGCGGGTGCCACAGGTGGTGCCACCGGTGGTCAGGACAGGAGATCTGCGAAACCAAGAAGGGCTTATTTGCCAGTTATATAGATCGTCTGCGGTTTTCTTTGAGAGGTGTGTGCACAAGGACAGGCTTGATTCAACTGGTTCAATCACCCAGAAGGGCCATTTCTCAGGTGTTTCATGCGCAGCAAACTCTCAAACACGGTCCCTAGTTCTCTCTCCTTCGGCAAGTTTCAAGGTCTTGGATCTCCACTGAGATGTGATTCAACAGTGGATCCGATACCTGAAAGGGAACAACAAATCTGATCCTGACTTTGCCTTCGCAGGCATAAATCACCATCTTTCGGGTCCTAGCACACATGCTCATACTCAAACTTCTCCCAATTGAAGATCCTTGTTGCCACTGCCTCGAGAGTGGTGCTGGTAAGCAGCTGAGATGCTGACGATCCACACGTTCAGAACCTGGTCTAATCGGCACAGTCTGTTGACCAGTGGAGATGGCATGTCCTCTTGCTTCTTGCAAATCGCTTGCCCTTTTGCTGAGGAATGGCTTGTCCTCTTTCAGTGTGTCTTCTGTTTGCTTCTGCTGGACTTCTTTGCGGGGTGCCCAGTGCTGGACTTCTTTTCACGATCCTTCAGGGGTCCATGGGATGGGATTCATCGAAGGAATTTCCCATGAGTTTGATCCGTTTGAGGCTTTTTGGGTGTCGATCAAAACCTCACCCTACAAACCATGGGTAGGTTGACATCCGGAATCTCTGCATTCTCAGCGGTTTTTGACATCCACGACTGGGAGCCACCTGATGGAAGGTCTCCCGGATTTCATCGCTTTCATCGTGGACATAAGTTCGGTGGCCCCCCTAACCCATGGTTCCTCAAGCACAAGTTAAGCATCCTCAAGGGCTTTCTGATGGATTTGTGACGAAGAGAGCTCAAAAAAATACCAGGTGTCGCTTCCAAAACAATGGATCAGACAGTTAAAATTTTGCTCAAAATCCACCTGCCCAGCCCACGCTTGGTCAGCCTGACGACCCCCAGCTGCACTCTGCGGCCAGGTCCTTCGGAAGGTGCGCTCCAACCTCCGGAACCACGTCGCGCTGACGGCCGGGCGCAAGGGGGTCGCAGGGTGCGTGGCAGGGGTGGGCTGAACCACGAGATCGATCTTGGGGTGGCTTTTCTTCTTATTTTTTAAAGCATCAAAATAGATCCGATTCGATGGATGATGTGTTTGTGTTTTCTTGAAGAGCCACAGCTTTCTTGGGGAGTTGAGTTCCGGCTCCAGCTTCGTGATTAGTGGAGTGGCTTTTGGACTAGTTGGTTGGTAACGTACTGTGGGATCCACTGATCCACTGGGATAATAAGGTTCTTCTCGTCCTTCTTTTTCAGCCTGACGTGGGCTACATGGATCTTCTGAGCCACAGCCTTTCCTGACACTACTGGCTGACTTGCCAGGCATCTGAGGCTGGGGGGCTGGGGCACAAAAGGTAAAACGACATGAGCACTGGCAACACTTTCAGCTGAGCTTGTTCCTGTGCTCCTTATTGGATTCCACTTCACCTTGGGTTTAGAATGCTTTAGATGTCGTTTTCAGGGGATATCTCCCACTCAAACAGGCTGGCTTTCCATTGGCGCATGGTGGGAGCGCTGAGCCGACCGATTTCGCCGACCGATGCGCCGGCGAGGTCTTTTGGATCAGCATCGGCATGCTCTACAACGTCCATGTGTGGTGTCCAGTCCGCAGAAGCTGTGCCACAGAGCCGTGCCACGTTGGACACTCATTTGCTGCTGCTGCTGCTGCTGCCGCCTTTCAGTTGAGATTGTATTTGTGTGCTGTGGTCTGTGGTTGTTGTTTTTGCTGGGAGCGGCTACACCATACATAATTACTCTAGCTTTGCAAGAAGAGACACCCTCAGTTCAACACGTAAGTTAAGAAGATGAAGTCTTCAACACGTTTGTTCCAAGCAACCCCGACGTTGCGAACCAAACCATCTCTGAACCCGGCTGGCAGGCCCCGAAGGGGCCCCCCCGCGCCCTCCCTCTTCGGCTGCCGTCTGACCTCTCGCGAGACCCAGGTACCTCTACGGTCCCGACCAGGCCATCTACTGGTTCAGCGGCTTCACCCTCGAGTGGATGCCACCCGGCACCCAACGGGCGGGGCGGGGCGGGGCAAGAGCGAGGGGGGAGAAAAAAAGGGAGAACAAGTGAAGTCGTTCAGGGAGGTGGTAAGGGTAGTTTGGTTAGGTTGCGACACATAGTGGTTTGTTTCCGTCCTTCTTTTCCTTGTTTTGGGATGATTTCGGGCGATTTCGAGAGTACGTTTCTGGCCCCCATCCGATGTGTGTCCGTTGATCACAGCAGTTGACCAGCACCCGGGCAGTTCACAGTGACCCGGGGCGGAGCCAGTTTTCAAAGACTTGGGTTGCTTGGGGTCTCAGTAACAGTCCTGGGTTGCCGAACCGCAAGGACCCCTGAATGGAAGGGGTGAACATACTTATATTTTCGATGATTCTTCGAGGAGCTAGTGTTTGTGACAATGTTGATAGAGTAGATGTAGTCTGTTCAGTAGAAGCCCCAGATGGGCAAGCTCCACTGGACGCTCGCCATTCCTCACTGGACGCTTTTTGCAAGATACTCAGTAGGTGGACATTAAAGCTTTGATGACCTACCTGTGTGGACCTCGTCTTCACATAAGCTTTGATTCATGTCGTCCGCACCAACACCGGTAGCTGGTCATTAGCTGGTATGTGACGAGCCGGCCTCGTAAAAGAGCCTCCTCCTCCGTTCATATGTCCGTCAGCCTTGGCCCAGACCTCAATTGTCAATCCCGACCTGCATGCATGAGGCTTTCCATGGACAACTTGGTGGTCTTCAGCTTGATCATGACGACGTATCGCGTGCCAGCGTGCCTGACACGCAAGGCACAACGGCCTCCGAGTTCTTCGGGGCCTATCTTTCTTTCTTTTTTGCGGATCGTGACAACAAGACGAAATGGAAGACAAGTCTGCTATGTTTTCCAACTTGAGTGTGGCTGAAAGATCCATCTACTACTCGAATCTACGGAGCTCCAACCGTCGTTTACGTCACCTCGTGAAGAGTGGTGGAAGGAACACCGTCAACTCGTGCTTCCTCGTGAAGCTCCAGAGGTTCGCAGACCATTCATGTGGAACTCGTTTTGGCAAAGCAGAAGTGGTGCCAGGCCTTGTTCGTGGGTATCGTGGGATGCGTTGCCATGCGGCTGGGATTCTTTCTGGCCGCTCAGACGCGAGGATGGCGCAAAACATGCGCATGTCCATACATGTGCTTTGTTGGTGGCTCACACAACAGTAGCAGTAGCTGCGTGGTATTATTGTCGCAGTCGCTTTTGTGGCTTGCTGCTATTGTTGCGTGAACTGACCATGGATCTTCGAATGGCAACCAGTGGCAGTGGGGGAAGCGTTGGCGGAGCTGCCCTGATCGAGCTGAGGTCCTGGAAGACATCCTGAAGCACGAAAAGATCCTCCAGATTTGCATGGGGATCGTGTTGCCCGGAGAAGACCACATCCTTCTGCAGAGGGCTGGGCTTCAGGGTTGAGGTTCAGGTCCCATCCGGCAAGCACCGACCGGGATTCATGGGCATGGCACGGATCTGTTTCGGCGAAGTCCACTGCAGCGAAGATTTGGTGGTATGGGTGGGTTGTGACTATCTGACTATCTAACTGCACTCCCTATTGACGTTCCATGGAAGTGGATGGCACCCCCTTTTCGGCATTCACAACATGTTTTCTTATCAGGGGCCATCATGCCATCCCCTTCCATGTCAGTGGGATCATTCTAGATTTTCACCCGTCTCCTGGGGCAGACTGTCTTTTTTTTGGCCACATACCGCCCCTGGAGTGTGTTTTTGCCACACACCGCCACAAAAATGTCAATCAGCGCGGCAGTGTCCGGAGTCGCATCGGTTCGGGGCCGGAGCGAACCACTGAGGCTGATGGCGAGTGGTGGACATGCCATGTTCGAGGATGAGAACGAAGGCCGAACCCGACCCGGTTTCACCGGAGACCGAGCTGGCGCTTTTCTTCCGAAGAACGACAAAGAAAGGGTGGGGGGGCGGGATCTGTAGAGATCCATCGGGTTTTGGCCAGAAGGCTGATAGCTGCATCAGGTCATGAACGGAAATAGTCGTGGAAGTGGACAACCACCTCTTTCATCTTCGGAAAAGGGGGGACCCTTAGTCATCTGAAATTGGAGCCATGCCATCCATGTCACCATCCGTTCCTATCAGGAAGTGTACTTGTGGGTTTCGTGCAGGTTTTGTGTGGAAAAACCCATCCTGTTTGCATCTCATATATGGCACCCTGACGTCCATGGATGCCGTTCATGTCAGTGAGTGTAAAGTCCGTACCTCCGAACGACATGGGTTCCCGGGCAGGACATGGAATCAGGGGGTATCGAAGGCCAAAGACACAGCAAACTGAGCTGGAGTTCGAGTTTCACCACCACGATCTTCATAGAGATTTCCCGTCCAGATGGCCCTTGTCCAGAAATTTCAGATTTCCATCAACCAAGAAGTTCCGAAGCAAGAAACCCCATTTTTCAGTTGCCGAACATTCAGGTGATGTCGTGGATACCTATGTGGTGCGAGCGACCAAGGCCGACTTGTTTTGCATCCAAAAGAAGGGACTAATTGATGGCCTTTCCACCTTCGCCGATTTTTTTAAATGTAGCATATGTTACAGTATGTTCCTCAAAGCTGCTAAGAGGGCTCGGTTCTTTTGTTTTGATAGGGTTCCACCCAAGCTATGTGAACACAGGGTTTTGTGTACAGGGTGCAATTCCAACCAATCCTTTCTGCCAAGACCCCTGGTGGTGGAGAGGAAGTTGTTTTCTTTTCACTTTCTTAAACAGGTTCATTTTTTCCACTGCGCGAAGGAGGGACAAAGACTCACGCATGTTCCTCTTTCCTAGTCGTCCAGCAAACCATCTCCGACTCCGACAGTGATAGCCAACCAGAAGATAGGACTTCAGTAGCCCAAGAAACTGGCACTATTAGAGAGAACGTGTAAATGGGACGGACCTATTTGTTACTTTCCCAACCTGAGCCTGTCACTTCACTGCGAGTTGTGAATCTGTTTGACGCATACCAAGTCTCCCATCGATGTTTAAATTGTGCAACTGGACAGATCGACCAAAACGCATCCCCAAACCCTTCGGACATGTGCCTTGTTGAATTCCAACCAAACCGCCATCCTTACATCCACTTTTCCCAAGAAGTGGCTGTATTGGACGTCGATCCTCCAGGCCTGCCTTGGACGTCGACTTGAGGAGCGCTACGACACTGAGACCTGCAGGCGCTCGCCACGGGGCCGCCTCCGTGCCGTGCCACGGGGCCGCTTCGGAATGGAATCGGTCGCAAGACGGAACGCATGGATGTTGGGTCCAGTCGAGGTGGACGAAGCCACCGAAGCCACCGAACCCGAAGCGGTCCTGGGTGGAGCCACCTGTCCTCTGAACCGCCTTTTTGGTGGAGCTGCGGGAGAGTGGGTGAACGAAGCTTCAGAGTGATGGACGATGAAAGGACGTTGCAAAGCTCAGCAGTTGCCTTAGGCTGAACGAAGGTGTGTGTACCAGAGGGTGCTGCTTCACGCGTACCAGATATTACACCGTGTTGGTCACGTTTTGTTTTAGAGGACTCCGGCACTGAAGTACGAGCTTTGCCACAACTCAGGATGCTTTTGGGCCGGTGCTAGTGGGCTACCGTACTGGCTGTTTTGCTGCAATTTGCACATTTGCCTTTGAGCTTCGTTGAAGCAAACTTTGCGCGGTGCAGGCTGTTTGTCTATCGAGACGGGAAATATCGAGCGACCCTGTTACTTGGTTGCAAAACAGAGTGAAGAAGAAGCAAGGATTGAAAGAAATACCTTCAGGCTTAAATTTTGGGGGGGTTATTTATATAGAGAGTCTACATTATAAGGTGGCAGTGCAGTGTTTTGGAGCAGTATGCTTTTTGAGTGCAGGCCATTTGCCGGGCCTTTCATTGGGTTCCGGAGTGTTTCTTGCCTTGCGCCCTCTCAGCTACTTGTATGTGCGAATCGCGTCATGTGAGCGCACCCCATTGGTTGGCACGGTGTGGAACGAAGTGTCTTCAGATTCCGTTCGGAACGGCCCCAAATCACCGGGGCCATGGTCCGACCGTCACTCAAGCGAGCGAGTACAGCTCGCTGAAATCGCTACACGTCTTCTGCCACGTAGAAGACTCTTCGTTCTTGCCGATCTTTCTCGGTCTCAAAGAGAGGAAACAGATAAAACACCAGTTACACCTTTATCTGCCACCCAGCACGAAGAACCATTAAAAAAGAAACCATGTGCTGAGTTAGTCTTCACGGAGCAACTCACCGACTGGAGGTTAGTCTTCGTGATTTTGCTGCTGGAAATCACCGACTTGATGTTTGCCCTGGACAGCGTCAGCGCCAAGATCGCCGCGGTGGGCCCCCCCCGGTTCGTTCTGTGCTGCCGGTGTCGGTCGGGGCGGTTGGTGGGTGGCGGTGGTCGGGTCGTTGTTCTTTGGGAAACATTGGGGAAGAGTTCTTTTTGGTGAGGAGCTTCTGGTTTTTTCACTGCTTTCACATTGATGTTCGAGTGTCTTAGTAGAAACGCGATTGGATAGATCGAGATACAACTACTATCAACCAATGTTGAGAGGTAAGGGATTATATAATGAGTGTTGGCAGTCATACATACCCACGCCCATACCTGTATACAGTGGGCATGCGCCCCTGAAACTGGTCGCAGACTCGTTGCAGACCCCTTTCCCTTGAGCCAACAAGTGACCAATGATTAGAGACCATTTTGCTTTGCCAAAGCACCTGTCACTAGTACATCTGTCTTTTCTTGCAGCTCTTTGCTATTCGCTTGGACATGTTTCGCTGAGCCAACAGGATGATGTCTATCCCTCATGGCCGGTTGGTTGGAATGCCGGTTGGTTCGTCTGTGTTTCAGAAGACCCAGGTACAGGAGATTCTGTAGGACGATAGGATACTTTAGGATTAACAGCTCCCATTGGCCCAGTCAAATCCAAGAGAGTTCAGTTGTTGGTTTTTCTGTGGAAAACCACACCCTCCCCTGTTGTGGTTCCGTCTTTTTCGCCCTGCAACGAAAAAGCAGCTTGCCTGGCCCGACTGGTTGAGCAGGTTTCGCCGGTTTAGCAGTCCTACCAGGTGCCCAACCAGTTCATCGCCTATAGCTCCACGGTGATGGCGGTCTTCTCCTTGCGCGCAGCCTTCTTCATCGTGCACGACCTCGTGCAGCAGATCGAGGTCTCTTTCCCGCAGCCCGCAGTCGCTGCGTGTTTTGATAAGACAGCGCACCACCAGCTCACCAATTCGCAGCAATCTTTGTTTCAGAGAAATGCTTAGAGTAGATACTCAGAGATTCTGGCCACCAGTTGCAAATTTTGATCTATTTTGGGCCTCCTGATCCTTTTGGTAGACTTTATATTATTGTTTATTCACATTCCCAGGGACAACCTACGCGTTTGGTACTTTTCAGATGCTGCTGTGAACATGAGAACATGAGAACATGAGAAGCAGCAAGAGAGCCTGTTCAGTTGAACAAGAAGCTCTTCTGCAAATTTCTGCAAACTGCCAGATTGTATTTCTCCCTCTCTCTCTCTCTATATATATATTTTATATATGTATATATTTATGAGGTTTCAGATAGTCTTGCTGTTTCGCTTGCTAACCATAGAAAAGCACTCTTTTTGAAGAACTTCAACGCCCTGCGAAGCGCTGCCAACCGTGTGACCGCACGGATTTTACCCGTGACCGGACGGTTCTGGGTTTTCTCAATCGGCAATCGAAGACTTGAGTTCAACGTGAAGAGAGTTGCTTTTCAGACAAAATCTCTTTTTGGTGAGTTCCATGAGGTCCTGAATGTTCAAACAAAACGCGGCGAGTCCAGCAAGCAGTTGGTTTCGCGGCACGCATGGCAATGGGTGTGTGTGTTGGTCACCGTTTGGTGTGGTCGACCGGAGCGTTTCTCTTCCCACCCTGAGAGTTGCCTACTTCAGGTGCTGAAGTCGCTGGGATGCACTTGGAGGGTGGGGAGGAACTATGAACTCGGAATCCAGAATTCTAGAAGTTGAAGATCAACCAAGGACACAAACATGAACATCTCCAGATCTTGCGATTGACGAGCTGATTTGGAGGTTCACTTTTTGGCCTCACTGGAGTTCCCAACGCTTGGGAAGTCCAACTCTGAGCTCCACACATGGAGTAATTAATAGAGCTTTTTTTGATATGGTTTGTAAATTGGACGATGAGAAGAAAGCACACTAGGTGAACCATGGGTCCTCGAAAAGAGGCTCCTCAGAATTTTTTGTTGGGCCAAGAGGTACTGGAGGTTGGGCCAGAGGACCTCTGGCGGGCCCTTGAGGCTGCTTGGTACTACCACTTGCGTCACAAGAATCCCATGGGTTTCCGGTTTCGTGGAGTGAAGACCACCTCTGGTGGTATGAGTCGGGTCATACAAACGCCAGGGTCCTCCGGAATCGGGGCGCCCATGTCACCATGCTGTTGAACGGTTTCGTGCACTTGTGGGTTTCGTGCAGGCTTCGTGTGGAATCACTTACCCATCCTGTTTGCATCTCATCTATGGCACACTGACGACTGACGTCCATGGATGCCCTTCCTATGGGGGAGCAGTGCAAAGAGTCTTCAGGTGAGAGCCAGGTCTTCCAGGCACATTGACCCTTCAAAATTGGATCTAGCATGATACAATTGAATATCCAAGTGATCAAGAAAGAGGAAGAACGCATCCACGAGTTGGTGGGTTCCGGTTCCGACGAAACGTGCGTTCCCGCCTCCACTTTGCCCAACAATTGCAAGGAGTGTTTGGCGGTTCTGGAGAACCTCCCCCAATTCCAGTTCAAAGTCCTGATCATCAACACCGTACGGATGCCCGTACGGAGATCCATGCCACTGCCAGGGTGGATCCCACGTGTGCCCACGTTTCAGCTCAGCTGGTGGCCAAAGCAGGCAGCCTTCTCGGCTGCCTCTCGGCCCAGCGCTTTTATTCCCAAACGGGTTTCGCCGGGGTCGCCGGACTCCGCGGTGCGTTTGGGCGATGATCCGAGGTATGGTGTGGCCTTCATTGTGGCTTACATAGGAGTACAGCTCATTCTCTCCACCTTCCGAGACCTGGCCTGACGGGAGGGAGGGAGGGCGCCCGGACTTTATCCTTTGCTCCGTCGACGTGAGGAAAGACATTTTGAGCCCTGGCGTGGACGCTGCAAAAAGCAAAAGTTTGCCCAACCAGACAAGACCACCAGGCACAAAATAGCTCGAAATCGTTTGAAATGCTTGGAGTACTCCCCTGCAGAGGACCACATGGAACCCTAAAACCACTTGGTTGGTGGACCATGGTCGAAACCGGGCATCAATTCTCAGGTTCCATGGGATCGTTTGCGGGGGTACTTGTTGCATACGAAGGCCGCACTGCACGGTTATTCAGAGCGAAGAAGCCAAGAGCAATGGAGAAGCTCCACCTGTGTTTCACAAGCCCCACCTGGCAAATATGCAGGAGAATCGAAAGAATACATCCCCAGCTTCACGAGCGAGTCGCCCAGTGAAGATGCTTTCTCAGAAAATGGGAGTCAGTCGTTTGAAGCGTATCCGTGGACGCCTCCTTTGGCTCCAACAAATGGTTTCAAATCGAGAGATCACAATTCGCTGCGTGGTCACGCATTTGAACATAGCAGACTCGAACACCAAGAAGAGCCATCCACGAGATAGGCGCACCATTCTCATTTTGAATGTCTGACATTCAAGCTCTCTATTTGGAGGGGGGTTTTACTGGTTTGGGGCTCCTGACATGGGCTGAAAGGTGTTGAGACACAGGGGCAATCTCCCTGTCCTTGCAACAGGTGTTTTCTTTTTTGAATTCGTTAGATCCACTCCCTTTCCACACTCCTCGAGCCTTCAGGATACGTCCCTGAGTGGAGCACCTGTGCGGTCTCTGGATTGGTACTTTGGCTTAAGTTGAGATGGGCTGTTTGTGCAGACACTTCGATAGGACCGACAAGTCGTGAGGCCTGACAAGCAGTGGATCTTCGGGCTCGTGTTGGGTTCAGTTCCTGGCACGCCAAGAGGATGGTGGCAATCAGATCAGATAGTGTGACGACTTTTCCTGGCACGCCAAGGTGATTTGCTCGTGTCTGCTGGTTTCTTGGCTGCGCACAGGACCTGTTCTGCTTGCTGGCCCTCTTTGCGTGAACCAAGCCCATCGGAAAACCAAAAGCACGATATCAACTGACGGACATGGGCCCAGGAAGGCGGCCAAGGGTCGTGTTGATGTTGGCCACCAGTTACAATATGTGTGACGCTGTCGCAGGGCTGTCGCAGTTGCACGTGTCACAGTCCATGTTTTTCAGCGCTGATTGGGTTCAGTCCGCATTCACAATCAAGCTGTGTTCTCCGCCAAGGCGACTCCGCCAGTTTTGGCCGGTCCAATGGCATCAGATGACTTGTGTTAACTTTCCCATCTTGTTTGGGGTCTGATATCTTGAGCATCCAACCAAAGACTCTGACGTGAGGCTCGGTGCTGTGTGGCCACCAAAGCCAGAAGTTCATGAGGTGGGGAACGAGACTGTATCAGATGCATAAGATTAGTCGATGAGTCAGAAGACCACTTGCTCTTGAAACATATTTTCTTTATTGACTGCATCTTCTTGAGCTTTCGTCCGATCCTGAATCGTGGCAATCTTGGCCTTTTCGAAGTTGGGGTCAAGACTACCGCAAACAAGGGTAGCGAACGATGGTCATTCCGAACGCATTCGCTTCATCATGGGCGAACACGTTGGCCCAGCGTTGGCCTGGGGTGCGAGACGCCGCGACTCCCAGGCTTGGCCTGGCCGCTTCAAGCAGTGGAAGAGGACGTTTCACCACACGCACGGCTTCACCCAGAGATCGCGAAAAGGAGACAAGAGGTGAAGCACCTTGTGGGTGAGGCAAGAAGTGAAGCTGGGGGCTCGCTTTGATGGAACGTGTTTTTTTGACGTTTCTTGGTGAAGCTGATGTTCCAAGTCTTTTTTTCTTCCATTCATCACTTGCAGACTTGCTGTTGTAGTGAATTCGACACACCATATTGACTCCTTGGCCAAGCAATGTGGAGGCCGTCTTTCAAAAAACTGCTCCTTTTCTAAGACCAGCCAAGATAACCTCCAAAACCTTTTGGGGATTGGTTTCCCCACTGAATCAGAGTGTTCAAGGTCTTCCACTTACTGGTGGATCGAGCGATAGAACAGGTGGACAATTCGCTCCACCTTCGGGTCTACCGTCGAGCCCGGCGTGAGCCCGGTGACTCGAAGGACCCGTGGGCACTCGGTTCGGCCGACCAAGGACGTTTGGCCCAAAGTGGCGACACTGGAAGGAAGGAAACCAAGCATCGCACGGACACGGCGGCAACTGCTAGATGTATGAGGTGATCACGTGAACTTCTCAAGGTGAGAATTAGAACATGGAACTGGAGTCCCAGCACTTGAAATCTCCAGAAGGCGACTTTCTGATCTTGGCGGAGCCTTCTTCGATCTTGTTTTACTAACGGCGACCTCCAGAGAACGTGTACCACCTGGAATCCATGCAACCAGAAGCAACACGATCCAGATCTTTTGAGCTTCGTGAGATGTGTGAGACGAGACAATCTCCGATTCTATTCTTTTCTTCGCACCTGAACACCGATGGAAGGATCGACCCAGATGGTGGGTCTGTAGCTTCACCCGTGCCCAACCGCGACCCGTCGCGCGCCATGGATGGTCCGGATGACAGCGACCCTGGGCTGGCGGGCCTGAGCCCCGAGTTCCAAGCCATGCTGGGAGGCTTTTGCGCGGGTGGTGAGAGGATCTGGGATGGGGAGAGTCTGGGATCCTTGCCTTTAGACCTGTAGATGCAAATCGGAGTTCTCCGTCCACCAGTCTCAAGGGTTCACTTTGCGATACAAGGAGACTGTGCAGTCCTTCTCCGTCCACCTCCGATCTCGAGTTTCGTTCCGGTCCGGTGAGGCCTTTCTGGCCACACCGCGGCCTTTGCACAGATGTTGGAGAAAAGAACCAAAGCTTCGAAGGAGGTGGAGAAGGAGATCATTCTTTTCTTGGAGGGGGAGCCGGGAGCCAGAATGTGAAGTCCTCATAGCAGTACAAGATATTGCCAAGATATTGCAAGTAGGAAAGGGCTTGAGGATGATGTTCCTTGCGGCTCTTCGGGGGTTGTTTTTGGCATTCCTGTGGCCCTCATTCCCAGCCCTCCCCAATCGGAGCAGTCTTTCCACCAACAAACATGACCCTGCCCGGCTTCACACGTCGTCAGGAGAAAGATGACGAGGTTTATTTGGAGTCCTATGCGGATCTTGCAATTCATGAGGAGATGCTGAAGGACACGGAGCGAGTGAAGGCTTACAGGACCGAGTCTTGAGAAGACAATGTGGGCAATGAGTCTGGGGTCAAGGAAATGGATGGATCAGGAATCAGGGTCTTTTCGTTGTTTGAGCCATTTGTTCGTTGAAGTGCCTAGGTTGTAGGCGCTATGACATCGATGAACAGATGATCATGGATCATCTCCACAAGCGTGAAACCTTAGTGCTCAAGGAACCGTTGCTCTGTATCCTTTTCCAAAAAACAAGTTATCCAATAATTATATATGTATATATACACAGATTACACCCGTACACAACTCTAACTTTTTTTAAAAAGTCATTTTCCTTTTCTTGGCCCATAGATTCTAGTCCTGCACGAGTTTTATTGAGCACAGGGGCTTGCAATTCATACAGGGGCTGGGCTTTGCTTTGTGAAAGGCACACAATTGGAGCTTCTTTGTGCCCTTGATGGTCAAACCAGGGCAGAAAAGATTGATTGAACCCGATCCGACCTTTACAAGCCCCTTGAGGAGGCTTTGAGGTGAGTCTAATCCAGTGACAGGACATTTTTGCACTACCTGGTACCGTATATATATATATATATATTCTTCTTCTCTACACCTCCGACTTCTATTCCCAGACTTCTGAGTTGCTTGCCTCTACACTCTACAGTTCCTTGTTTCTGTTTGTTTGTTCAGGTACAGATCAGCCAACTGAGGCCAGGTTCCCGACTTTGGATCGAACTCTGCTTCCAACCCACGCGCCGCCCTCGACGCGCGTCGCAAAGCGCGCGTCCGCCGCGACTCACGGACGTGGGCCCATCGGACAGGACCGCCATCGAGCACTTTGGCCCCACATGGGCTGAGGCGACGGTGGTGGACGTGGGCGCAGGCACTGGGCTTCTCTCTGTGTTCATCTCCCGCGCTGGTGCTCGGAAGGCGGGTGAACCAGATCGACAGGAGGAGGTACGGTATGACGATATCATATCCTTGGGGTCATCAAGCTGTGCAGGTCATTTCATTAGGGTGTCTTTTTTTCAGACTCCGATGCCTGCGCAAAGAATATGGACAAACTGTCGCACGCATGCAGCATGCAAAGATTGGAAGGTGCTTTGGTGATCAGCTGGTCTCATTTGATCTAGGTCGTCTGCCCCACGATGTCACGCGCTTGCTTCGGTTTTTGCCCGGTTTTGTCCCCCTCCATGTTGTCTCCACTGGTCTTCTCGCCCGGTCAGACCACCGGTCAGACCACCCGTTCCGGGGCCACGACCGTGTTCCGTGCGAAGAGGGACGCCACACGCCCCACGCGCGGCTTCTGGGGTCCAGACGAGGAGATCCAACGCACGGGCCACACGGAAGGGGCCGTCCGAACGGACGTCGATCAAACTGATCGGACGGGATGTGTCGTAGCTTCCGATGGTTTCGTATAGGTGTCAAGGCTTCAGAAGCGGAAGAGATATGGAAAGATCGGTGGTCCGGTTCTAGGAATGCCCATCCTCTCTGTTTTCCAAAGAAACGTCACAGCATCTGGATCAGGTAGTGGCAATTGAGGCTTCCCGCTTGAGTCATTTCTTGAAGAAAGTGGTGGAGGAGAACTCTTGCAGCGTGGAGGTGCATGAATGCCTGGCAGAAGACTTGAGCTTACCCGAGAAGGTGGATGCTATTGTGAGCGAATGGATGGGATATTGCCTTCTTTTTGAGAACATGCGACCCAGAATTGCTTGGCATTCTTTGTGGAAGATTTGTTTAACTACATGTGCCTGTGCGATCGTCCTAGACTAGCTGACTAGCTTTCAGGAATCAGAAGACCCTGTCCATCCTCCTTCCACTTCCAAGGTTGCCATCGGTTCTGGCGGTTCGTGACCAGTACTTGAAGCCAGGCTGGCAACACTCGACTTGGTCGCCATGGAAGCAAACCGCAAACTTAGGTTGTGTGATGTGCCTTGCTCATGGCCACATGGTCCGGGCATTCCTTCATTGATCGTTTTATGATGGCATGATTTCTGCACGACAGTTTTCATTGGCACAGCCATGAGCCATGAGCGATCCTGGCATCAGGTGGCTTGATGCTTCCTTCCAAGTGTCGGTTGCTTCTGGCTCCCATCCAAGATGACCACTGGAGACAGCAGAAGGTACGGGATCAGCTTTTGTTGACGGGTCTTTGGAGAGTAGCAGAATGTACTAAATCGATCTAAATCGACTAAATCTATCTAAATCTATCCTATCTCCATGTTACAAGGCCAAACGCGGGATTTTGTTACACCAATTCCTGGCAGCATTGTTTAGGGGCGTGAGTGAATCCTACTTCGGGGTCCATGATATTTTCGGGGAAAGCGACAAGCCTCGAAACATAATTAAAAAACAACCACAACAAATTACTTTACTTCGAGTGATCCCCACCATGACATTTCAATCATTTGACTTGATGCCATAGTGAGGAGCATGTTGCCATGGTCGTGAGTATTGTAGTTCTCGATTTTGCTTGTGGGTCCTCGGGTTGTGTGCTGCGGTTGTGTGTTGTGGTTGTGGTTGTGTGCTGTGTTGTGGTTGTGGTTGTGTTTGTGATTGTGTGTTTGTGGCTGTGTGTTTGTGATTGTGTGTTTGTGGATGTGTTTGCGGTTGTGCTTGTGGCTGTACGTTTGTGGTTGTGTCTTTGTGGTCGTGTTGTTGTGGTTGCGTGTTTGTGGTTGTGTTTGTGTGTTGTGGTTGTGTGTTTGTGGTTGTGTTTGTGGTTGTGTTTGTGGTTGTGTGTTTGTGGCTGTGTGTTTGTGGATGTGTTTGTGGTTGTGTTTGTAGTTGTGTGTTTGTGGTTGTGTTTGTGGTTGTGTGTTTATTGTTGTGTCTTTGTGATTGTGTGTTTGTTGTTATGTTTGTGGTTGTGTGTGTGGTTGTGGTTGTGATTGTGCTTGTGATTGTGTATTTGTGATTGTGTGTTTCTGGTTGTGTTTGTGGTTGTGTGTTTGTGGTTGTGTCTTTGTGGTTGTGTTGTTGTGGTTGTGTGTTTGTGGTTGTGTTTGTGGTTGTGTGTCTACTGTTGTGCGATTGTGGGTGTGCGTTTGTTGTTATGTTTGTGGTTGTGGTTGTGTGTTTGTGGTTGTGTTTGTGGCTGTGTGCTTGTGGTTATGTGTTTGTATTTGTGTGTTTGTGGTTGTGTTTGTGGTTGTGAGCTTGTGGTTGTGAGCTTGTGGTTGTGTGTTTGAAGCATACCATCTGCCATTCAATCTGCCATTCTATCTGGCAATCTATCTGGCATACTATCTGGCATATTGTCTGGCATACTATCTGGCATTTTGTCTGGCATACTATCTGTCATTCTATTTGGCATATCTTCTGGCATTCTATCTGGCATTTTGTCTGGCATTCTATCTGGCATTCTATCTGGCAATGTATCTAGCAATCTATCTGACACACTATTTGGCATACTATCTGGCATATCTTCTTGCAGCATTCTATCTGGCAATCTACCTGGCATTCTATCTGGCATTTTATCTGGCAAACTATCTGGTTGAGGTCCAGCGGTGCACACTGCGATCGGATCCTTGCGGTTGAGGTCCAG